TGAAAATAAAATCCAGTGGATATACTTTTTTTCCTATACTGTAGAATACTTTATTTTCGCTTGGAATTTATTTTCGCTGAAGGGATGATTCCGTGAAAATAAAATCCAGCGAATATACTTTTTTTCCTTTTATTTCACATTAAACTCATGAAAAATCAGTGAAAATAAATTCCAAGCAAAACTCCCAAAAAGCCTTTTCAGTGAAAATTAATTCCAGCTAAAATAAAGTATTTCACAGTATGACCTGTTGGCATTGTTTTCACAGCATGATGGTTTTTAAAGAGGCAGTTAGTAAGATATATATCACAGATTTGAGATAGGTCTACCTGGGACACTTGACATATCAAATATCCTTACAATCAGTCTAATAGTTTTCAACCAAATGCAAACAAATAAACACCATGATGAAACAATATATATATATATATATATATATATATATATATATATATATATATATATATACTGTAGAATACTTTATTTTCGCTTGGAATTAATTTTCGCTGAAGGAAAAATTCAGTGAAAATAAAATCCAGCGAATATACCTTTTTTCCTATATTTTACATTCAAGTTGTCAAAAATCAGTGAAAATAAATTCCATACAAAACACTCAAAATGTCTTTTCAGCGAAAATTAATTCCAGTCAAAATATTTTTTTAGTATTTTACAGTAAGCAGATGCCAAACAGTGACCACAACAAATTTGGAAAATATACAAGATATTTATAAAGGCGAGTATGAAAATTCAACTGCTTTCTCATGTAATTACCAAGGTGCTAGATTGTTATCTTGTTTACCGACTGTAAAAAATTCATTCTTTCAATACATGTTTGCCAACAAACCCTGCATACCTGAACATACAGAGTACACTCATAATCCCAAAAAGGTCAAAGCATTCAGTAATTTTTTTTAAACAAGGGAACAGGGGTGCAGCGCCCTCATGCCATGGCCATGCGCCCCCTTACCCTGGGCAGCAGATCCTCTGGCAACCATAAAATTCTGATTGACCAGGGATCACATGTGGGCACAGTCTTCAACTGTAACCTGTCTGATAGTAATTTTGGCCCCATGAAAGCCATAGAATGCTCCATTTTACTTAGAATTATCAAAAGCTCCACACCCTTGGGTAGGGAGAACCCTATTTCTCTCACTTAGAGGCACCGCTAAATTGCAGGGGTTTTTTTTCTAGAAAAACCCCTACATTCACTAACATCTAACCAGTGAGTATATAAAAGACTAATTTCACTACGCACACTAGTTTGTTCATCGTATTACAACAGGTGAATTATATGTTAATTTGAATAATATCATTTTGTTGACATTGCAAATCATACACCAGAATATAATCACTATAAATGTATAAATGTTACTGTTGCTTTTTTTCTTGTGATGTGAAGAAGTGTAAGTGTGGCCACTAAATAGTTGCTTTGGAAACCATAATTTACTTGCAAGGAGCCACCTGGCTACTTTATTTTTGGCTCGACTCCTAAAAAATGAATACCTGAGGGCAAGCATGTTCCTAACAATTTTTCTAATGTATAGGACTGGAAAAGTTGAAAATATCATTTTTTTTTAACCAAAATTGAAAAAATATTTAACAACAGCAGCAGAGAATTGAAGACAAAATTACAAATTGAACAAAATTGAAATAAGTTTATCCAAGTTAAACAAAACATACACTGGTATTCAATAAAGTCAAAGATATCTTTTTCCCCCCACAATGATATTCATTTAAATTAAGAACTGAAGATATGGTCACAAAATGAACAATTCTTAGAGAGATCTACCCAAGTAGAATACTTTATTTTAGCTGGAATTAATTTTCACTGAAAAGACTTTTTGGGTGTTTTGTATGGAATTTATTTTCACTGATGTAAAATATGTAAAGTTGAATGTAAAATATAGAAGAAAAGGTATATTCGCTGGATTTATTCTCACTGAATGATTCCTTCAGTGAATATAGTGAAAATTAATTCCAAGCAAAAATAAAGTATTCTACAGTAGTCCAAATTTGTAACAAGTTGATGCAGATACAGACAGAAAATCAGTGATACGTCTTGTTCTTCTCAACAAAGTAGACGACAGAGCTAAAAACCTCGCTGGGAAAAATAAAATAAAAATTCCTGCCCATCTACCCAGTATTATTTTAAACTAAACTTTTTTTTCTGATTATGAAAATCCAACCTGTCAAGAAAGATTACTGTGAAATACTAAGCTGGAATTAATTTTCACTGAAAAGACTTTTTGGGTGTTTTGTATGGTGTTTTCACTGATTTTTGCAGAGTTTAATGTAAAATATAGGGAAAAAAGCGATATTTACTAGATTTTATTTTCACTGAATCATCCCTTCAACGAAAATAGCAAAAATAAATTACATGCAAAAATTAAGTATTTTACAGTATGTAAATGAGAGCGATATTTTGGAGTTTTTAAAGATGCATCATCATTAAATCTATAATCTGAACTTGAACCCGGCAGTTTTAGAGGCCTTCCATTTTCCAAACAAAAATTGATAAAATTGTCTTAAAGAATATATATACTCATAATTCGCATGATACTTCATTTGTTTATTGTGTAAAATGGTGAAGGTAGTGTCTTATTGAACCATGAAATAGCATACTTTCGTGTGTTACAGTAATAACGTATTTTGAGAAATTTGTCCTAATATTTTTCAAAAATCGCTATTTTAAGAACAATTTCATAGAGCACAATGTTAAAGAAAAATTGCATTTTTTGCCACTTTTTAAAACCAAGATTTTTGAAATAATTGTGAACAACAAAAAGAACCCCATTGTTCATTTTTTAGGCTACATCACCTGCCTACAATAACATTATCTCTACCATAGGAATCCATGGAAAAAGCGTGGTAAATACTGACAAAATAGCCATTATTCACTAAAATACAACTATCATTTTCTCGAAATATTTTTTAAGTCAATAAAATTTATATTGCCCGAAAACAATTTATTTGAAAATGGATAAAATCTGGGTATTTGAAATCATGAGTAGGCTTCTACCTTAACATTATAGAAATAATAAGAAATTGTCCAGGGTACCAAGAGTCTTAAATGATTCTGTGAAGTTGAATTCTGTCTTGGATCCCTAAGGAAACTACATACAGCCTTCTAGACTGACCATTTTGGTCGCCATGACAATTAAATTTAGCCAATGGTGATTAAATAAAAAATCTGCGACATAAAACATACTATAGATCACTTCTAAGCACAATTTAACACTTTGCATGTGAGCATTTCGTAATTTATTATATGCAATGACATACAATGATCGCTTCGTATTTTTCGTAAGTCTGTGTGAAAAAACCATGCAGTTTTCAACAGAATGATACAATATTGAAAATGAATCTCATTCTGTTAATAAATCAGTGTCAGACTATACAAGGGACATCGCACCCCGTGTGGAAAACGAAATCCAGCTTGCAGAGAAAGCCAAAGACTCCATTTTAACCTAGAATTATCAAAAACTCCACACCCTGGTAGGAAGAACCGTATCTCTCCCACTTGGTGACACCGCTGAATTGCAGTGATCCGTCTTCCAGTTTTTTTCTAGAAAAACCCTGGTTATAATTATACAAGTTTTCGTCGACGAAAAAATTGTACGCGATTCCTGTAAAGTAGTTATCTCGTATATGCTTGAATAGATATCTGAATTTTTATGGAGTTGGTTCTCCGTGTAGTTTTTCATGTCCTAGTATTTGCAAGACGCAAAACATTCTGGAGACCAACAATTATGTACTTTGCTATCAATGGCCACTGGGAAAAAATTTTAACAGATTTACAATTACAATTGTATGGCTTACAAGAGGGGGAATTTTAGATCATAAAGAAGAAATTTGTCAACACGATAGTACAAAAACAATTGGGGACAACAATTCTTTTAAAAATACACCAAGAGTATACTTGCAAATACAAAATGATTAGATCCAAATATTGTTAAACAAATTAATAAAAGAGAATTTCATTCTAATTACAAAATAAATTAAATTTGAATAAATTGAATAGAGTGATTCAGCTGAATTGACACTAAGTCGATTTAAAACGAGTGCTGTCATCATTGCGAAAACATAATGGCGGTATTTGCGGAAATAATGGGCGAACTCTGGAAAATAGGTCAAACAAACAACCAACCAAAACTGTTAAACGAAAGCAAACGGTGGCCGCATCGGAAATGGTTCGAGACGAGCGAAGACGGTCAGCTCTCAAATGAAGTGTGTCATTTACGTTTCATACATACTGTGACACCGGGGTTAATTTATTTCGAAATCGCGTAAAAGGAAGATTGTTTATCGTCGTCGAAGAGGCCCCTTACCACGTCGCATTTACAGAGGCCGGTGGGCAGGGAAAACACGATACGTTTTGTTTGTTTTAAAAATACGCTTAAATTCATTGGGACCGACGAATAACAACTCCTTGTAAGAAACTAAACCGGTTCAACGGTGATTACGTACGAGTTATTAATCGCCCACAGAGTGGAGATCAACGCATTAATGTAGATTTACACGATAAATTTGGCCCGACTGCATTGACTAGCGTAATTTATGCATAACAATTTTACTACGATGTGTTTACTATGAAAAGTCATGCGATGTCTTTTAATTTTTTAAATCGTTTTATTTCTAAGATTTGATCATACATCATTATGAATCGTGTGGCAACTGGATGTTTTCTGGTTACGACAGAGACGACGACGTTGCGCTGCTCGACTACAGACGGCGTGGGTTTTTGAGTTTTTTTTTCCACTAGCTACGATAGGGAAGAACACCGCCGCCGAAGCTCTTGAGTGAAAACGCAAAATGGCAACACACTCGATGAAAACATGATGATACATGACTGAATATGGGGTGGATTCGCCGACTTTGGCAGGAGTTTGGGACCACATCAGCCACTTGGCGGTGTGTGGCCGTTCACGACAAACGTCGAGGGCGAGATAATTCTAGCGAACGTACGGAAGAAATCGTAAAATATATCGAATAGAAGAACTCACCGTGAACTCACTGACATCAGGACTCCATTTCCCGCGTAGGTTCGAGTACCCGGATGTTTGAGCATACGCATGCGCAGATTGTTTGGACAGGTTGTTTATTGGAATAAACCATTATAAATGGGAGCGTCATCGGCGTTGATGCGTGATTGCGGGGCACGCCCACTCTATACCACCAGTACATAAGCTGGGATTACCCTAGTTCTATCGGGTACTTTGACATAAATTAACGAAAATCTCGTGTTTTTCACCACACAGTTTTAGACTACGTCATCCCGTCATCCGTGCATGCCATTTCTACCAAAAAGGAAACATGACAATAATAAAACCAGTCACATGACTCCAAGCACGTGAGTCTGCGTTTTTTGTTGCATAAAAAGAAGGCATATTTCATGACATCATCGTGGGACAACCCGATTACACTGATTTTCATTATATAAAATTTACCGCCTTTGATAAAGTCTGGACTTTCCGAAAATTGAATCAATTGAAAAAACCTTTAGTTTAGAGAAAACACAATCTGATTAAAATGTGATGTATTTTTAATTATATTGACTATCAACTTATTTTTATTTAGTTTTTATTACTTTTGTTATTAATGCCTTTTTATATTATTATTTTACTTTGATTTTGATTTTGGGATTTTTTTTTCAATTCCGCCCTCGTTGGCTTTCGTAATTACCAAAACTACAAAAAATCAAAAATAAAATAAAATAAAAATACAAAAAAAAAAAATCATTGAAATTCTTGTATTTTTTTTTTCAAAAAAATTACCTTCCAAGTCAAGTTTTATGGTTTTCGCAAACTTCGACAAATATATCCTGTTCAAGTTCGGCTCGAACTTCAGAACGTATTCCTTGACCAGCGAAGTGACTGGCATCTACTTGGAGGGCAGTACATTGAGCTTTCAGTTTTCTCATTTTCGCTACAAATGAACCTCCCCGCAAAATGTTTCTTTTCTCAGACAACCGTACTCAGGCTGCCACCTTTTCTGAACGGTTTTGCCATTCAAACGCGGCACGACAGTATATATCTGTATTCTGTATTCTGTATTCTGGGTTTATATTATTACAATTCCAACGGGGGAGTCCCCGTACTCTTAACAAAGAGGGTTTGGCACTAAAAACAATAGAACGTTTATAGGCTCAACGTTGGATTTAGATCGTGTTATAATCCAAATCCCCTGGAAAGAGTTGTAAGCACCAATTTTCATATGTATAATACATAAGTTGTTTCAATATGTTGAATCTATGTTTATTGGAAAGTTTAGTATATATTATGAACTGACAATCAACCCACAACATGGAAACTTGAAAGATGACTTTATACCATATATCGTCCTGAAAAAAGGATGTTTTTTAATAGACGGTGTAATTAGCAAAGTTTGATTCAAATGGTTGACTAGTTGCCATTGTATTTATTACGTCAGTTTGCATGTGTCGGGAAGGGGAATAAATAAATAAATAAATAAATAAATAAATAAATAAATAAATAAATAAATAAATAAATAAATAAATAAATAAATTAATAAATAAATAAATAAATAAATAAATAAATAAAAATATTAATTTCAGATTAAAATCGTATTCCACTTACTATATTACGCCTGTAACATGTAAACACCTTCTCGTAGACCATTGTGTAGCCTGACAACGTGAAGGTCGCATGAGTTCCGCCCTTCGCGGTGCTGCAAACCGTGGGGTCTGATGTAGTTCGGCCGGCGATGGCGCCATTCACGCCTGCATGTCAGGCTCATAATTGTGCGGCCATTTTTGTCACAATTTTGTATGGCATTAGAGGATTATGGTCCAGCAAATTTGTAATAACACACACACACACATGGATTAAGAAAGGAACCATATTTATTTACCCCCACCCCACCCTCCACGGACACAAACGGCCATCATGAATTCCGTTGTAGCGTTCAATGGGACGATGACGTCACGCAGACATTGATATCCACCATCCCATGCACCGGGACGGTTCGATAAAAATAGATCGAACGCTAAAAACAAGTACCACGGAAACGTAAACACGTGATGAGAATACTTTTAGTATACTATCCCAGATTTCGTGCAGTTCACATTATGGGGACGCGACGCCCTTTGCGGGTCGTAAACTTTAGCTTTTTGGAATGGGGTAAAGATTTGCTAGGATGGGGTCTGTTTTCAGTCTCTGATCTCTTTGTCAAACAACAACTTTTTGTGAATCAAACAAAATTATGTGTAAGTAGTTTTGGAGTGAGTAATTTCCCTTGGATTGATCATTCATGATTCAGATTGATGAGTCTTGGAGATGAGAAGATTCTACCTATAACTGAATAAATTTAGTGATAATTCGGTCTCTGATGGGATATACCAAATCACTATTTTGCCTATAATGGGGTATGGTTTCGAGGTGAAAATGGTCTATGATGGGGTCTGGAGATTTACTTCCCGGCCGCACACCTCTACCATACTGAAAGGCCAGTGCCTCCCACGGGGTATTATCTCAACCAGGAAAACTCATAAACGGTTTGCATTGCCGTAATCTGCATTGTGTGTTCTCTCACAGTTAATACATATGTGACATCGCGGAGGAGAAAACTTCATGATATCATAATCTCGTCGGCATAAGGGCGACATAATGAACTTGCACTTGGATTCCGTCTCGAATCCATTGCCGCCGCGAATCACTGGCGCGTTGAATTTCATAGGCATTCACATCAACGTAACTTCCATCAAGTACCGTTGAGGGCGGCATTTACAAAGCGAGCAGCAACTTACTGCAAATACGTATACAGAATGAAGTGTAACTCTCACACACACTCTGGTAAGCTTTCCTCACGAAAAACAGTTGTTATGCAATCTCACATATGAATCGCGTAGAATCGGTTATTTTAAGAATGATCGCAGAAATTTAACCCAAAATATAGGACAAATAATTTATTACATTTCTTTCAACTTTTCAGTTTTTTCCCCATGGTTTGGAGAAAAACTGTCTAAAAATATACAAAAATGAACGTTTTTTAAACAGTTTCCATGGATACCATGTTAAAGCGTTTATTTCATTAAACATTAATTTTAAATATATTTGTTTTCACCATTATCATGACGTAATTAAACGATATTTTGAGATACGCTGAGAACGTTTTACCATGGAAACCAATGATAAATGAATCATAAATCGCAATTTCCATGTATATCGACCTGTATTTTGTACGAATAGTAGTTCGGTGATTAAATATTTTTATTCAAGTTTTATCAGGGTTGAGTTTTATGAACAACAGCATAAGATACAACCATTACGTAACCGTCAATGAAATCCGACCAATTCATGATTGCTTTAGTTCGCATTCGTTGGTTGCGTATTTTGGGAAAACTGAATGCGTGAAACGGAAAAAGGAATTTTGGGATAATACGACAGCAAATAACTTTGAAGCGATCAGATGGCCTAAGCCTAGGTACCAACTTTTTGTGTAAGAGAGATTCTTCCACTCGGGAAAGAAATCACGTAGTTTATGTTCATTTCTTATTTGTGCATAACTGTATAGTTGAAACAAGTTCAAAAGTTGATTCTTTGCTGCACGTGTTCACGCTGTGAGACGAGATGCAGTCAATGCCATGCCGCTAGGCAGGGAAGAAATCATTCTACAATCACTTCCCAGTGATTAATTATGGTATCCTCGGGGGCGGACATCCGGGCATTTTCTACCGCTTGGCAACCCTCGCGGTGAAAACAAAAACCCAAAACCCGCAGAAAACGGTACTTTGCGATGGTTGTTGAGAGTCCCCTGAACAGTGTAACAAGATTAACCCTACGTGTGTAACATATATGAATTTGGTTGTTCAGGATTACTTCAAAGTTGAGTTTGTGTTGTTATCTCGAGTTTTCACCCGCTCCACCGGCGTTCCTCGGCAGCGCGCACAAAGCCCATAGAAATACGTGGTACAGTAGTGCGCGTCTTAGCAACGTAGAACGTCCGTGACGTAGCTCCGCCCCCGAGGATACGTCATTATGCTGCCATTTTGACACATCGATGTACCACGGTTGTTATCCCGTCCCTGTTTCACAAGTATGGAAAATAACAATCAGATACAAAGACTGCGGGAAAATTAAGCCTTAGTGTTTCGCAGATAAACATATAATTGCTATGTAAATCAATTTACATGTGGGTATCTCACCCATGCCTTTGGCCAAATGTAGCATGCACCAAGTTGACCTGATTGGCTACCCAACCCTTACACTTAAAAATCCAGACCAATCAGAGAGAAGATTGACATGTATTTTCGACGTATACGTATCAAATTCCTTCATGCTGTATATAGGCGTCGACTTAAAGCAGGGGAGTCGTCACCTACGCATGCGTCAGATGGCTATAGCGTTTCATTGTTTACGAACAAGCGTCTACCCATGAGTCTTTGCGTTTTTAGCGTGTGTTGTCATCGTCCCTTGGGACTCAATTTTCGCGCGTGCGCAGGTGACAACCCTCCGCTTTAACTGGCAATTTATGAGGATTCGTTAATTTCGACAGACGTAACGATTCCAGTGTCAGTTTATTTCTGAACGTGGCGTCAATGTTGTACTCTTGCAGCGTATAACAACCACCGACTACCAAATTATATATGCAGACCATTCATGAGTATTCATAGTTAAAGGGCGATGGTCGTCACTCCGCGTCCTGGTCGATATGGGACTCATAGCGACGTATACAACGCGTGTAAAATACATTCTTACTTGAATTTGGAACACGCACTGCCCGACGACCATTACTCATTAAACTTTCAAACGCCAGAAAAGTTGTGAAATTATACAAGTAGTTATATATTTTGTTTTCATTATATTATTATTATTAGCGTTCACGCACAGCTCCTTAGCACGGACTAAGAGGTCAAATATCTTAGCCCTGCTAAGAAAACATAGCTTAACACGGGCTAAGAAATGCTAAATACGGATTAAATCTGGCCCGTTTTTAAGACGCGGTTCAGATCCTTAGCGCGGGCTAACGACGTGTGCGTGAACGCTGAGCTTGGGCTAGGCGCCCAAAACACCATTTTATTCAAAATTCATTTGGAAGATTTATTATTATATTCATAACTATTCATTTCGATATGCCATTTCTGACAGTCAACACAATCACACATAGAGACGCTGTTATTCTGCAATTTGCATTTTCTGAATTTTCTTTGGTATTGCTTCATAAATTTATAGAATGTATGCCTTCCTTGTTACTGTACTAGTAATCATAGTTAAAATGATTGAAGATTTTTGTTTGTATGCGAGTTCCTTACTTAGCCCGTGCTAACCACTGTTTCCTCCCGTGCGCGTACGCATTTGTGGTCTATCCGATATGCAAAGATTAGCCCGTACTTTGTGTAGCGTGAACACAACTATTATAACTGTATAATTAGTGTATATCTATGTCATTGTTATTTTGTACGATGGGCCGAGGCAGAGCAGAGGGAAATGTTTTATCACTTTCCACGGGCCGCTGGCATTGCTTAAATAATAAATACACTGGCCATCGCGAGCAAGTACGGTTTTATTGGTCCTCCCAATTTGAATGACCGGTCGTGGGGATAAAAAAGGTCTAGAATGGGGGTCAGTGAAACAGCCAACTTAGGTAATGTGTGAACTGTTTTTTTTTTTATAATGACACCAACATCTTAATTACAACAAAGAGAATGTCGATCGTGACTGGTGATTATTTTTTATCTATGCGGTGGTAATCACTGGTCGAAACGCCGACGTCGTTGTAAAGGTAGTAGACAAAAGCTTCGATTATGAATCACCCATTGTGTGTAGTAAGTAAATAAAGTCGCCAATGGAAGAACTGATTTGACGACAAGTTGTTTTTCCTTCTCAATACAGGCCCAGGTATACTATAAATACGCTCCTAAACAATAGGGATTATTTCCTTGCTTGTCACGCTGTAGTAAACAGCTCCAGCCAAGCTCCGGTAAAAACGTGTTTTCTCGAACTTACAGGTCGATTATGTCGTGCCAAAGTGGATGCATGTGACTATGAATATCACAGCAGTGACTGTGTGTAATATTTATGACAATAAATTGTGTACGAGCTGAGATTTTGGCGGATAAAAGTAAAAAACATGAACCGGGGAAAGGGATGCACGACTAATCTTGAATAATTACTACTGTCAATCAAAGTCACGTGATGTTGGACCGCTGAAACAGGATGCGTCATAGGCTATGCAAGTGATTAACACCATGCATTAAAATAGCCACACCTCCAATTCACACTTGCCCGGGGCAAGTGAATTGAGCCTTTATATGTACCCCTTTTATTCCGTCACCCCGGGCCGTCTTCCACTGTTTTTTTTTTCAGTCACGGGCGGTAATTAGTGCAAGTTCGCGCCCAGGTCAAAACTAGTATTCGTTATTTCATTGGAAGAGCGCATTAGAATATGGGAAAATCGGTGTTTATCAACATAAATGTCAAAAATGCACGGCGCGACGACCACCGTTCTTTAAAATCCAATCCCATTGTGGATACGCTGGGCTTTCCGAAGTAAATCAATACACGGTGAATATGGCGGTTCAGCGGCCACCTTTCTTTGTAAACCTCGTTCCGTAAAATGAACGAAGGTTCATAACGCAATTCATGTATTTTTGTTCTCGATAATTTGAAAAAAATTGTTTTGTCTCATATTTGTTTTCTACAACTCGCCGTCGACTCAGTGCTCTGTTCGAAATTCAAGTCGCTCGACAGAGGGCGCACATGACAGATACGACAATCTACCATCGCAATTTGTTAACGATTAGCTCCGCTGGTACACACCCGGCCCAAAGGTCAAACAAAAATAACCGTCACCTGCACGCATCAAATAAACACCTATCAACAATGCGGCGCGAGTTATTCATCGAGTTCCTCATTTGATTAGGGCGAAGCACAAACATCAATGTTTTCTAACCATTCTATGTTAAACAATTAATTTTAGCTGTGGGATGCGGCTTTTCAATTCTCGTTATGGGCGATACCAATTCTAAATAGGTTGGTCAGACAGGAATATGTACAAAGACATGGGGTGTAGGCAGACGGAATCGTCTTCGTTGTAATAACATTGAATTGGTACCATACATGCATACCAGAAATTTACATAATTGTTCGTGAACCCAGGATAAGGTATATCGTGAATCCCCCCTCCATGACTTAGCAAGCCCCCCTACACCCGAAATAGGACCAACCCTGTAACTAAGTCTGCTACCATCATATCTACTAGAGCACCCACGGACAAAGTCTGAAAAAAATGGATGACAAGATCCTGATCGCGTCGAAAATGGGCGACCAGGACTCGGTGATTCTACCCATGCCAGGTTACTACGAGATGTTGACGTCCGTGATACCAATGCAGTGGTCGGTCATCTGGAAAACTCCAACCGATTTCGATTATTTCGAACAGTTCTCGAAATATTGCCACTTCACCTGGTTCGATGTTTTCATCGTCTTCTTGTTCGCTGTGCTGTGGACGTGGCTGAGGACAGCGCTGACGTACTACCTCTTTCAGGTTGGTGGTTCACCAATCTTTCATTCATTCATTCACTCATTCATTCTTCAAAGAATCCGTTCATAACATTCTAATTTTAATTACTCGTAAGGGGCAACCTCTATTTCACGCGACCCGATCCCGAGATATATTCTATTTATACAACCTTCGTCACATTTGTGATCTCGGTGAGGGCAAGCAGCGTGATTCAACCCTTAACAACGGTGGTTGTTTGTGATTCAACCCTTAACCCGGCGTACCGTGTGTATACAAGGTCATCGAAACACGTGCATACGGGACGGCTGCAAGAACGCCCAAACTTGTAGGGCGTCAACATTTGTAGCGTGTTATTGCAAATAGAATGTACACATCGTAAATCAAGCGATTTCATCGGTTCCGTTATCACCGGTCTGTATCATCACAACACGTCATCATCGCATATCATTGCGGTAACGTCTTAGTGAGGGTGGGCCATTGGAATTTACTGAGGCCGATTATTTTTCATTTTAGGGTTTACCAGATTATTTACTAGATTTGTACTGATGCAGATCATGCCACTCTCTTTGGGGGGGTATTTTTTTTCTCCTACAGGTGTTATATTCCTGGTTCAATCCTACCCACCATCAGAAACACTGGTCCGACCCTTAAAAAACCTCGTGTGCCTCCAGTCTATTCAACGCAATGTTTGTTTCGATATGATTCAACTATGTAAACAATTTTAGAGTTCAAATTATTACAGCGGATAATTTTGAATATTTATTTTAAAATATTCGGGTTAGTTTATTCTTTAGCACACACATGGAGTTGGGGTGGATACTGATGTAAAAAATGCTGGTCGTCTTAGTACACATATTTAATTTAAATACATGAAACAGACATATATACGGACCATTAATTCACAGAGCATGCGCAATGATCTTGTTATTTCATTGGGCATGTTTTTTCGGTTACCTATAATCGTTATTTTGTGTTATGTTCCCCGTTATTGTATGAAACTTTGGAACAAACATAGTTAAAAAAATAACCAAGTCATTTACACAACAGGTCGCAAATGATTTTTGATTTCATAGTACGTACCATTATTTCAAAATGCGTCTCTGTAGACGAGTTGCAAAAACGTGTCTCCCGGATTCCATACAACTGAGCGTGCTTGCGAAAGAAAGGGTGTGGTCGATTTTAGTAAGCAGTCGCTCAAGATGTAGTTGGCCTCAGTTTTCCCAAGTTGAATAGACACGCAAACTTAATATGTGCCCTCCCTCAGAAATATATTACAAATGTACGAACTTGTTAGAAATTATACTTTGTACAACTCGGCCTCAGCGTGTGCGTATGAAAGGACATTTCGTAAAACTTCCACAGGTAACGTGAATGCTAGTCTGGTCCAGCCGTAGCGATCATGTGAAATTCCGTGGCAACGCGGGAGAATCTGCAGACTCGTTCGTCGAGGAATTACAACATACTAACAATAAAAGTGCCACGACTGGGCTGACAAAAAACTGAAGCTGGTACAGTAGAATATCTGCCCCAATGATAAACAGCATAATTCCAGCTGAACGAAAACGTCGATTGACCCCCCCCCCCCTCCGCCCTCGCGCGCTTGGCAGCTACCCAGTGAACCCGTAACCTCGCTAAAACGTGGTTCACTGAGTATATCATTTAGTGTACTACCTGTACGCTGGGTGCATCTTACAACGATGTTCTGCATGGGATAGATAATACTAGTATTCCAATGCGTGTTTGCTAGATCTCGTTTTGCAAGATCTCGCGTATTGCGAGAAAGCAGCGGACCGAACATTTGCCGCAAAAATCGAATTTGATTCCTAACTTCTTTCAAATTATTTTATAGTTTAATATCGAAATGCCGATCTTTCAGAGAGGAATATAGTATTGTGATAATATTATTTACCAAAATTTATCATCATCAAATATTAAAAATGTTTAGCGTTAAAACTCTTTCATTAAGGAAATAATTGTTCACGTCGCCGTGACGCTGTGACCAATTTCGATTTCACGCATAACGCGGGATCTCGCAGTGAACGGAAAATAGTCTAATTAATCCCTTAGTTTTAATTTCACAAGTCAGTGAACTTGATATTAAAACCACTAGAAAATGGACAATTTGATGAAATTAATGAATATCAAATGAATGAAAATGCGTTAAATTTCAGAATATTGAATTTTAAGCTCCATTATGAAAATAACGTCAACCTTTTCACCACCAGTCCTCACTTCATTACAAATTCACAAAATAGTCCTGTTTATAGTCTGCACTTTCCTTCAGACAAAAATAGCTAAATTCGTCTGATTAAAACCTGAAATTTTCTACAATTTTGTCTGTTTGCTTCAAAATTAGGGTTAATTCCCAAAAAATATTGAAGAATATTAGAAAAGAGCGCAGACAAATTTGGGCGGGAAAGTTTGGTGGTTACCAGTCCTGTGGGTAGTGAAAAAAATAACGTTACGGCACATGTTATTCAAGTTGATGAAAATATCTTTTTGTTTCTATATTTTACATTCAACTAGTCAAAAATCAGTTAAATTGGACTTTAAACGAAACAGTCAAAATGTCCTTCAGTGAAAATTAATTCCAGTTAAAATAATTCGACTGTATTAGCATTTACATGCAACTACTACGCATCACGCATGCGCATTTCTTTGTTTGGATGGTAATGTTACCTTTGACCTAGTGTTAATATTAATGAACAGACTTTTATTTATCGTTCATTTCAGTATTATGACTCTAGATAACGGAGAACATTCGATCCACGAATATCACTTAAAGCGGGAGAGTCGTCACCGTCACCGTCAACGCAAAGGCTCGTGGAAGAGACGCTTGTTTGTAAACAATTACACGCTATGGCCATCTGACGCATGCGTAGGCGACGACTCCCCTCTTTAAAGGCGTCGTTCACGCCCTGACAATCGCCTAATAAACACGATTGTAAGTTTTGACACCTTCACCCGTCCTGAATGGCCAGATCGCAGGTGACGCGTTGTTACTATACGGGTGACGACAGCCCACAACGCGTCATGCGGGTTTCAGACAACCCAGTTTGGTAACATCCCCGGTTGCCCATACACGACAACGTAAACACTGGTACACATAGAAGTAGTGTGTAACAACATGATCGAGTCAACTTGGTTATCCCTGTATCGTTTAAAATAAAAAAAAAAAAAAAAAATACGAAACACCAATTCATTGGTCATTTGTTGTCGTCATCTGAAAACACAATAAGGTAATAGCATTAGTTATTCGCTAATCTCTATTTTCGGTGAAAATGCTCAAAATATCAAAATAAAGAAATTAAATGTCAGTAAAAATAAATGGTTACAACGATTGCTAGTAATTAGTAGCCATCATTTTACAGTATGTAAAGAATGGTTTGGTTATGTAAATTTTCTGCCCCGAAGTGAAAACAGAACGACGCTTCTAGATGAACCCCTGTTTTTGCTGTATTCACTGGCATAGGTGAACTCCCCTTCGAAAGGAGAAGTGTATATATGCACTTCACATCTAAGTAACCTTCCCTACAAATATTTCTCACTGGATAAAAAACCCAAAGTTCAATAGACCATTTTCCGTACACTGCGAGAATCACGCGTTATGCGTGAAATCGAACATAAAAACAGGACAAACAAAAGTCCTAGCGTCGTAGTGGCGTCAAACATCGCGTGGGATTCGACAAATGCGAAAGTATTTCGGGAACATTTCCATGCTTAATAATGTGCTGTCCACATTTGATGATAGGCAATTTTAATTAAGTGAGGGTATTCGGAAGCAGTATTCCTCTGTCGAAGATCGGCCGGTCGGTGTGAGCTACGAAATAAGGAAATTCGAGTTCAAAATCAAATCGTTCGATTTTTGCGTCAGACGTTCGACGCGCGTCTTTCATGCATCTCGCGAGATCTCGCAATGGTACGGAAAATCACCAATTCAACAAGTTTGTAGAGTTTTCGAAACAACCAACATGCAAACAATTTGTCATTTTATTCCCACAATGCATCACATCTAAACTGTAAAAGTCGCCAGTTATAAATTTGTTTGGAGAAATAAATGCTGCATTTCACGAAGATGGCCGATTCAAATCCACCAGCGTTGTTCAATATTACAGTACTGTAGAATACTTTATTTTAGCTGGAATTAATTTTCACTGAAAAGACTTTTTCGGTGTTTTGTATGGAATTTATTTTTACTAATGTAAAATATGTAAAGTTGAATGTAAGATATGGGAGAAAAGGTATATTCGCTGGATTTTATTTTCACCGATTCATTCCTTCAGCGGAAATAGCGAAATTTAATTCCAAGCGAAAATAAAGTATTTTACAGTATTCCATTTCATAGTGCGTAGTTGGTAAACGTCTCCTAGCAGGAAGTAACACAGGTTGTGACGTGGGAGGCAAGTTTATGAGCAGTGTCCCTCTCAATTCCTCTTTTAGTACAACATATCTACGCTGTTTCTACTGTTGATAATATGGAACGTAAAACAGGTAACAATAACACTCAATACATGACAAAGTGGCCGAAGGGAAAACGCGCCGTGATGTTTAACAAGGCGATGGATGCCGTACTCAAGAGTCGGCTCGAGTCACGCGCGCAGTACAGGGCAGTTTACTTTGTTCAACACGGTATTTCCTGCTAACCATACAAACCAAACCATACAAAATATTATCCGCAAATGACCTTATTCGAGAATGATCGCCGAGATCTCGCTAGGAGCGAGAAATCACGCGACTTGATTTTGCTCTCAGCGAGTGTTCTACTCTCCACCATTACCGCGTCTCCTGTTTCAAACACAGTAGAATACTTTATTTAATTCGCTTTGAATTATTCGCTATTTTTGCTGAAGGAATGATTCACTGGAAATAAAATCCAGCAAATATACCGTTTTTTCCTATATTTTACATTCAACTTGACAAAAATCAGTGAAATTAAATTCCTTACAAAACACCCCAAATTTTTTTCAGCGAAAATTACTTCCAGCTAAAATAAGGAATTTCACAGTACTATGTTTTCTATTATCAGAGAAACAGTAGATGTGATGACGTCAAAAAATGGAACACTATTCGAAGGGACGAAAACAAGTCTCTCGATGCAAGCGTGAGAGCAGCAAGATTTGGGCGGCCGTCAAAGCAATGTAGGAGATGTTTGGTGGTATTAATGTTAATGTTGGTTACAAATTCAGCAGTACCGGCCACTATTATGAAAAATACACTTTACGGCATTTACCAACCAGTAATCTGTCAAACAAGACCACACCCGCAGTATTAAGTCGCATATTCATCATAAACCAATATTGCCCATTCCGACGCCAAGCTGTATTTTTGTTCAATTTTTCTCCTAAAAATCACTTCTCATATCATCTTTCCCATCAAATCGCACACGTACATGGACACATTGGCGACCCCCATTCTCCGTTCTTTAAGTCGGACTCTGAGTCGGAGATTTTAGAAATTTGTACTCGCCTTGCGTATTTATATTTTTGGTGTTTAAAGTAGCCTGCACACAACTCTTAGTCATAACGCATTGTATTCTAACTCAACCGGAAATGTATTCGTTATTTTTATTTTTTTTAAATATTATTTACAATATCGTAAACATGCCAAAATTATCTCGTTTTGTGACGTCACTGAAGCGATTTGCTTAAGCGGTTTATTTGTGGGAGGCGGACTAAGAATAACATCGAAATGCGTTAAATGTACATGTACGTAAAAAATAAATGTGGTTACAATGAAGCGCCACCAGTGGTGACGCAGCGCGTGACAAGTAGTATAAATAGGGGAGTGACTGATTTATAACCAAATTCGGATTTTGAGTCTATTGCGCATTTTTTCTGGGCATATTGCAATGCATCCTGGTAGAAACATACGTTGAAAATATAAAAAATAATATGTCATTGAAAACGCACTGATATAATTGCATTTTTTGTTCTTTAAAAGTTTGGATCCCGTCACTGACACAAACTACGATACATGGGTATATGTAGAGTGAACTGTGGTCTGACGAACTGTGGATACGGTGACGGGGGAGTATGGGAAAAACAAGCTTCGCAGCCTTCGCAATTCTCACTGTCAACGAGATCGCAGCGACCAATGATTTCCACCTACTCAAGGTTGGGATCGGCCTCGTTTTGGTTTTCATCCGCTGGGATTCGAGCTTTGGATCTACGGTTTGTTTTACATGACGTCATTAGACATGAAGTCATGTGAATAATTTTTCAAAGGATTTTTGATTCGAACAAACAAATGAGTAAACAAAAACAAAAATAAAGGACAAACGTATCCATAACTTTGTGGCGTTAAAATACTTAATCAATGTATGCTCTCTGATTGGTCGGATTGTTACGTGTGAGGATTGCGTAGCCAATCAGGTGCAATCTTGTAATATATTCTGTTGCTCATAAAATATATGTTAACATATAATCGACGAACTATTCAAAAATATGTCAAAAAATCCATGAACAATTTTGAGCCATTTTCAATTGCCATTGTGGGAATTGTTAAAAAAAGTAGGCTCAGGAAAGGAAGATGAGACCGCGTATGGACTGCAACAGCCTAACTTTATTGATCGAACTGAAGAAGAGACGAGCTTGTCTATTGGTTGAAATTAAATCAATCTAATTGGCTGGCTAATTCTCAGTCAGAATTGTTACCAAGCTCAGTTAATTCCCGACATTAGCTTTTATATCGTGAAAAGAAATCATATTTATTTTTAAATGGGTACTTATATTTTCCCACTGTTTTAGATAGTTTTTCTCTGAAGAAATATTTCATAGTGGGTAAAAAAAAAGCAAATATTTTTGAAATATAAACAATGTGAGCAAACACTGTGGGACGATCACGTGTCATTTAGAGGCTCATGGGAATATGCAAACACGCAGACGGAGTGGCGTGACATATTTGACCCCGTAAGTATTTGCTTGCCCGCCGAATGGATGTGTAGCCTGGCAACGACGTAGACACCCACGCGCTCCACTGAGCGTAACTGGGGGAGCAACTCTAAGGACGTTACGTAATAGTGAGGTCGATGAAAGAAGATGTTCATGGTGTAACTATTACAAAATGGCGACGTTGATCCTGCACACAAATCTGAGTTCTATTGTTTACATTAGAAAATGGCGGGTTGCACGGATTACACACTGAGGGTGTTCTAGATGAACCTCTGTTTTTGCTACATTCACTGGCATAGGTGAACTCCCCTTCAAAAGAGAAGTGTATATATGCACTTCACACCTAAATAACCTTCCCTACAAATATTTCTCACTGGATAAAAAACCCAAAATCCAATACAACAAGTTTGTAAAGCTTTCGAAACAACCAACATGCATTTTATTCCCATAATGCATCACATCTAAACTGTAAAGGTCGCCAGTTATACTGCACTACCATGGCAACAAAATGTCCAATCCCATGTATGTATATGTGAATGAAATTTTCTTGGAGAAGTACTTGTAGTTGCCGCATTTTACGAAGATGGTCGGATAGATGGTATTATCTATCAGAAACATATCGCCGCTGATACCATTTTATAGTCAACATGTTTTTGTTTTTGTTTTTTTTGTGTGTTTTTTTTATAACCAACACATTTCTGATTTATTTGATCTGCTTGGAGTACTGACTTTTATTTAGAAATGTTTCTTCACTAGAAGAGTTACCCTTATAATTGATAACAATTCGATAGACTATCATGATTGTGATTAACCAATCACGATCGTGATTACATCTCCGGTTAAACTCAATCAAGATTGTGATTGGTTATCATAACAATCACGTCCTGTGCTGTGAGTTATAACGTCAAAAATGGCGGACAGACGACAGGCGGCTCGGCCAATGAACGGATTGCAAATAAACAAATGTCTTAAAAAAAGTTTGCAATTTTTAGCTAGAGGCACCAAAACGTTTTTGTTTTTTTCTGATAACATGTTGTTTGATAATGGAAGCGTGTGGAAAAACTATCATGGTAATTACGCACGAGTAATTTTATTCAGAGCCTCGATGAGAGTAATGACTTCATTTGATGACCACACGACAATGAAGGAAAATTTCCCACTTTTGTGCTAAAAATGTATATTTTTTTTCAACAGCCGTTTTTGGATAGCTTAAAAATGACGGACGCAACCAGTGCCGCTAAGACGCCAGAGAGCATGTACAAAAGTATCTGGTATTCCATATCCTGGTCCTACACAGCGTATTTATTGTTCAATGGAAAATACACCATATTCCAGGATCCGGCATCTATTTTTGCAGGTTTGTTACAGGGTTCCTTATTGGTCTATTCATTATTCTAATTCTATAAAAAGGCATATGATTGGTGGGTTTCTACTCTAATTAGGTAAATTTTCTTTAAATGAGCGTAACATTACGAGGACACTGTTTCAGCAAATTTGGAGAAGGGTCGCTCGGCAAAATGATGCAGAGCTAAGCAACGTTTGAAACTTTTTTGCCGCGGATTATATTTTTGTAACGCCATCAAATCTGAAATTTTTACACCATTTGCTCCATAACCGGGTGTGGTACAATCACTAAAGATAGTCTCATAAATATCAACTTCAACTTTGCAGGTGCATCGTACTTATAAATTTGCGCCCCCTAGTGACCAAACGCTTCTATAATATAAATAAATAGACAACTTCCCAAAACGCCGTATCACGTGACAGAACATTTATTTAAAGATTCGATATCGTTTTGATTCGTATATGTCCATTGATAAAGACATTGCCTTCACCCATAGACGTCATTTTGACGTCACAGAATGACTCTGTCACTAGAGGGCGCGATTTATAGGAACGTTGTATAAAAGTAGCGCGAAATATTGAAAGAAGTAGTAGTCACGTGATGCAAGGTGAGGCTTTGTACGAGACGGTAACGACAACTTTCGAACGAGGCTGGGAAATGGTGACGTAATCCACAGAATGTTATCTTCGATAAGGGCGGTAGTCGTCGCACTGCGCATGTGCGGCATTTGTGTTGATAAACATTGATTTTTCCACAATCCAATGCGCTCTCCTAATGGAAATCACAAGTATGAGGTTTGACCTGGGCGCGACTTACACTAATTACCACCGATGACTCCTTCGATCACCTAAAAAAATGCCTAATTAAAACATCTCAGTTTGTACTCGTTGATCTGTGCAACAGCCAATTTCGCCATCTTTGTTTATATGAGACCCATATATCTCGCACACGAGAGGCCGACAACTGCCGCCCTTACTCATTCATCTCACAGAAGTACATCGACACTGGAGAGCGTAAGTTACATGCAAGGATACAGAAAGTTCCAATGGAATGGAAGTATTTTTTAAATATTTACATACTCATTTGCATATTCTTGTTTGCTTCATTCAGATTGGGCCAATGGGATGGAAGTACCCTTAGATATTAACATATCATTTGCATATTGGTGTTTCTTTCATACAGATTGGTTCAATGGGGTGGAAGTACCCTTGGATATTTACATATTCATTTGCATATTGGTGTTTCTTTCATACAGATTGGTCCAATGTGATGGAAGTACCCTTGGATATTTACATACTCATTTGCATATTCTTATTTACTTCATTCAGATTGGTCCAATGGGATGGAAGTACCCTTGGATATTTACATAATTTACGTCTACCAGTGTGGTTTCTATGTACATTCCATCTATGCAAGTATTTACGTTGACGTCATCAGAAGCGATTTTTATCTTGTCATGGCACATCATATATTAACAATAATGTTGCTTGCATTTTCGTACATAGTTAGGTAAGTTTGATACACCTTTCTCATAAATTGCGCCCTCTGGCGAAGTAGCTTTCACGCCCTCTAGCGGCAAAACTATGGTGGAAAATACAAATATCTCAGTTTGCTGATAGTCGACAGAACGGATTTTTATTTTTGTGACGTTTATTAGTACACCCAGAAACACAATATATGCGCAAACTTTACGCTACACCCCAAAACGGTATGCACGCGCAGAAACGCTATACTAGTATCTTCGACTTCCGGGAAAGTGGTCTATTACGCCCTCTAGTTTTATTGAAAACAACGGCCCACATTGAAATCGAGAACGGCTTTGAACGGCTTCTTTTCACTCATTTACTTTGCTAGAGGGCGTAAAGACTACGGCGTCACACGTTATTGATTATTCATGATTGTTCGAACCAGCCAGGAAAACAAGAACGACAAAGTGGACGACCTGAGAGCTACGATTTCGTCTGCGCATATTGTTCGATTTTGAACGTTCTACAATTACGTCATTTCCGTAATTCAACGAAAACGTAACACATACGACTGAAGAATGTCCAGTTCAAAGAATGAAAGTATTTTTTCTACAATACTAGTATTCCTATTTTTTTTAGTTTCATGATGATTTTTAAAGCTAGCATTGAAATAGTTCAAATCAAAACAAATTATCGAATTGGGTGATATATACCCAGCATGCGCAGTAATTACATTTCCTCGCCTGTTGGTTGAATTTCAAAGGCTGGTATAAATTATATATTCATAAATACATATGTGTGTACTATTGATTTTTTGTTCGTCTCTTAATCAGATATCACAAAATCGGCGTGTTAGTTTTATTCTGTCACGATCTGTGCGACGTTTTACTGGAGACCGGAAAGATCATTACAAGAACAAAGCAACGAAATGGAAAGGTCTACAATTTAAATGAATACATCGCCAATGCTACATTCGCTGTTTTCATCTTTGTCTGGTGAGTTATGTTAACAAGATTCCTGAGGATGTTAAAGCGGGGTAGTCGTCGTCTGCGCATGCGTCAGATGGCCAAAGCGTGTCATTGTTTACAAACAAGCGTCTACCCATGAGCCTTTGCGTTTTAAGCTTGTTTTGTTATCGTCGCTTGGGACTCAATTCCCGCGCGTGCGCAGATGACGACCCTCCCGCTTTAAATGAATTAAGGCAAGAAAAAATAGCATTGCTGTGATTTTGACAAGATATTTAATTTTTGTTGTGAAATAATCTATTATTGTTGTACAATAAAATACTATGCTTTGGAACGGCGCGTTCTCATTGGTCAACTGGTACCACGTGCGTTCAAGCTAGTTTAACAATTTTAACATTGCATGCGCCATATTGGATGAGGAGAATGGTCGAGATAACGTACGAGACGAAGCCGAACACATTATCTCGTCCAATCCCATCTACGAATCCAATATAACGCCATGGGAGGATTCATTATTTTGTTGTAAATCACTACCATCCAAATTAATCGAATTTAGTTAATTTTTATGCTTTTTGTTAAAAAGAATTTAATTGTAAATAGAGGTTTACATTATCGTATGTCATAAAAATCTCTGATTCTGATAATGGTGATTTCTATAAAAAAATGGTAGTGTGTCGTTATTTATTTCATATTTATATTTCCAAATAAAATAACAAATACCAAAGCATTTAATCTTTTCACCATCCGCCTTCCTCGCTAAATTGTTCTGCATTTTTTTGTTTATATTCTTCAATGTCTGGAAATGAACCCTAATTTTGGAGCCAATAGACGCAATTTTTGGCAATTTTCAGTTTTTACTAAAAAAAAAATGGCTTTTTTTGTCCCAACCTTCTGAAGCAAAGTGCAGACTATAAACGGAACCATTTTGTGAATTTGTGATGAAAATAAGGAACTGGCGGTGAAAAGATTAATATGTGCAATAGGAATAATAATCTTGTTGATCTTTTGTAGGATTTTGACGCGACTTTACTGGTATCCGCTCAAAGTGCTATATGCTGGCGGGCGATTCTTCCATCCTGTCATGCCATTCGTCACCACATTCAATGTGATGTTATGGATGCTGTTGGCAATGAACCTGTATTGGTTCTGGGTAAGTTCGATCACGGCACCATTCCTATAAATAACGCCCTCTAGAGTGCCACACTTGAGTTTGATGAGTGAGATTTTGACAGATTTTAAAATATAAAATCGTGTTTTCTCAAATAAAAACAAATCCACGTACATTTTTATTTTACAGCTTAAAAGAAAATGTTATAAAAGCACAAGCGCGGTTGTAAATTACATGCAAATAAACAGTGTACTGTGCACGCTTCGTATCCGTTGTATCGGACCCACAATAAACCCGACACGATAAACTAGATTTTAGTATAACAGACATAACGCACATGGCCATTGAAATCTCGCGAGAAAGCTACGAGACTTGTTTTTGCCCCCCCCCCCCCCATATAGGTTCTATTCTTCACCGTCATCGCGCCCAATGTTACTAATACCTTTGCTACACGGACCAGGGACACAGTGGGCATAATGACGGTGGAGAATGGAAAACTATTTGAGATGGGGGAAGTCACGTGGCTCTCAATCTCAGCGCGATCTCGTCGGCCATTTCCGAATATTGTCAATTATTGTCGTCTGCTGAATTCTGTCGTGTTCTTGTATTGCAGATGATTCTAGACTTACTGGCTCGCTTACTCAGCGGTCAGATGAGCGACGGTATACGGGACTCGCGAGAAGAGAACGGCGCCGTGCCGGGGAAGGACAAGAAAGCGAAAAAAGTGCAATAATTACAAGAAACGAGAACTTGATAGGTACGCCATCAACTTGCAGGCTCAGGTCAAAACCATGCAACTACACTTATCTCTGGGATGCGTCTGTTCTTCAAATCGATATTTCACCAGCAACAACTTTGTGTTCTATTAAATTGATACTATGATGACTATTTTCATGACAGACGTCTTTTCAACGAACTATGATAAACAATATGGCGGATGAGCCTACAATGTGATGCCGTACTAGGACAAACACGTCACCTGACCACAACCCCCGATGACGTAACATATCAGGAATAACTATCGCTTACGAACACATATTACAAGGATACCATTCGAAAAATCAACAATTTGGTCTCCCTTTGCTAGAAATGTTCCATAAAAAGGGTGCAAACGTTTTTTTTTTTTTTTGCAAGGTAATTTTGACTCAGACAGACAGGATATTACTAAAATATTTGCGGTAAATATGTTTTGTGCAAAAAACAGATTTTTTTAGCCGGATTATTTTGTTAGAATAAAAATTCAGTGAAAACGGCTGGAAATCGTTTACAAACTAATCAATTAAGGTTCTCATTGTTTTCCTAAAAATAAACTAAGTAATCAAACGAAATAACAAATATCCACGACATCACACTCGAGCCTTTCAGTTAAAGTGGTGATGTCGTCACATGCACATGCTTCAGATGGCCATAGCGTGTCATTGTTTACAAACAAGCGTCTACCCATGAGCCTTTTCGTTTTTAGCGTGTGTTGTTATCATCGCTTGGGACTCAATTCGCGCGCGTGCGCAGGTGACGTCACCATAATACATTCGTGAAATACAAATTGTTCCTATGTTCAGACGATAACGACTGTTCAACCACAACTGCGTCAATACTTATTAAAAAAAACACAGAAAATATATCGTCTGTAACAAACGCTATTCGTAATTTTCAGAAATTTCTTAGAGATTTGCGCAACAATGTTGTTGGCAAAACGGACTGAGGTTTGAAGAGTAAACGTGAAACAGTAGGCAGTGTTTGGTAGTAAAATTATTTAATATTTTCAAGGATGGATACAGTTATAAAGACATATAACTAGGATGACGTGTTGAATATTGGCCACGAATTCACAAATCTGGCGGACATTTCTACAAATGTTTACTTCCACGAAAGTCATAGATTCTTTTCCATATTTTACGAGTTCTCGCGTATTGCTCGGCAGATGATTACATTTCTACTCAAAAGAAACAGGGAAACTGTGAGAAATAGCTTTAGAAATAATGTAGTTTGCCAATTAAATCAGCCAAAAGCAGTTTATTTCCCAATTTTCAAACTAAGATAATTGTTGGTAGGAAATATAAATATTTTTTTTCTAGAATGTATGTGCAAAAATGAATTACTGGTTATTTCGTTACCACAACGCAATACTGCAAAGTGAGATTTGTACAAGCGATTCTGTTTAGAAATGTAAACCACCTTAGTATAAATATTACAATATTTCATCAAAAAGTAAAAACGAATATTGTACATTTTTTAAAATAAGTGAAATACTCATAACAAATCGTGTGACGCTGTATTTGATGTCGTTAAAATTTAACTATGACGTCATTATGGTATCAGTTTTTTTATATAGTTGCATGTCTTCCAGAGTTTATTTTTGGTTTCTTATGATTTAACCATTTTACTGCCTTTCAATCCATCGACAAACATCATCCTGAGTGACCGAAATATTAACCAAATCTTTAAATATTACATTGAAATTTGAAAGAAATGCGAATTATGTGTGTGGGGTTCAAAATTAACAACGAACTTGCCGAAAGGTTGCAACAAATTTGAAAATTTTGTACTGTCATTTTGGCGGGAAAACAATATGGCGGTGAATGGGTTTTGTACATTATGTATTTACGTTATAAAGTATGATAGCTGACAACCTTGTACGGTATGTGAATACTTCCAACAATGTAGAGTGTTGTAGTTCATTCAGAAGACTTCAATAAAACCAGATTTGTTTTTGAAATGTTCGTGTTAGTGAGTGTTGAGTGACATTTTCCTTTGACAAGCCTGACAAGGTCGCGTGAGTTCCGCCCTCCGCGATGCTCCAAACCCGTTTGGCCGGCGAGGGCGCCACTCACGCCTACATGTCAGGCAAAAAAGTTAAGGATAATGGATAGGTTTATTACGCATTTTTTAATTTGCCATTGTTGGATCATCATGAGAAGCAAACACTCATATGAACCAAAAATAGGATTTGATGTTTTTTTTAGAGTGTAAAAATTCAATAAGCGTTCAAACTGTCTGAAAACTGTTTTGTTGTATATGTTCAACAGGCTGAATTTGTCTTTTTTTTATTCATTTAATTTTTACCAAAATAGCTCCCCGTGTTTATATTTTCACGCCGATTCCATGTCCAGTGTGAAAAGGGCTTTCAATCAATATATGGCTTTGTGTAGTTCAGTAAATATTTATATAAGAAAACATCAGATTAGAAAATCAATACCAAATACCTATACAAGCCCGAACATCCATTACGCGACTTCTCATTGGCCGGCTACCCAGAGGAGAGCATGCACGTGACGGGTAAATTGGAACGGGTCGGTGAAGACAATGATGATGATGACATTTGTTTTGAAACAAAAAATTGTTGCTTCTCGTTCGAGCGAAAATAATTTTCGCGTGTTTTATTTTTTCATGATTAAGATTATTTAATTTCCCCATTCTATCGTATGTGGCGCACTTTACCGCTACCTAAAATTGTGAAAAAATGCGCAGGTTTCATACTGAAGTGTGCGATGCAAAGAAAGAAGACCTTTTCTAAAGCGGAAGCGTCGTCACCTGCCCACGCGCTGGAATTGAGTCCCGGGCGACGATAACAACACACGCTAAAAACGCAAAGGCTCATGGGTAGACACTTGTTTGTAAACAACACGCTATGGCCATCTGACGCATGCGCAGATGACGACTCCCCCGCTTTAAGCTAAAAAACTGTTTCACATTTAAGGTACTAACACTGCCGAACTCAATACGTACCCGAAGTACGTACATACGTAGTGTTACAAATCTGCATTTGCGTCAATTAATTTGAGATATTTACACAAGACATAATTTGATAAGTCGAAAAACTGTCAACAAACAAACAAACAAACAAACAAGCAAACTATTCTCTGATTGGTCTGGCTATTAGGTGTTAGGGTCCGGTAGCCAATCCAAGGCTTGGTGAGTTTTACGCCTCTCTGGATTTAATCTTAAATGGTTGTGGTAAACGCATAAAGTGCCTGGAACTTGGAACTAGGCTACATTTAAAATTCTCGTTCCCATTAGCAAGTAGCAAGAAAAGCCAGGCCTCGTAACGCTATGGGAAGTGCGCCCTCGCATCAAGGTAATAATGATTTCCCGTATCACGCCGCGGTCCGGCGCCTCTGGATTTCAGTTCATCAATCAAAACAAAACTTGTTATTCTAAATTACTTCGTGTGTCTGAGGTCACGCTGTGGTTAAATTGTAATAACACCTATAAGGTATATGATAAAACCTTTATGGACTGAATACGGGTTTTGCTGCCCTTGGGTATGCGGCTTACGCACCCTCGAAAGCTTTGGCGCTCCGCCGCGACCTCGGGCCACAAAAGCCGCATCCAGTCCATCAAGATTGATATCAAACAGGACATGACGCAACAACCGCTGGCCTTAATCTCAAATGTATATATAAGTTCGCGTAAGTCACTGGAATGAACGCAGTTTTTTTAATGTTAGAAACTTGAAGGTACCGTGACGTCACCAAACAATCATCAATCCATTTTTATTTGCAATTTACCTCAATAAAAGTTTGTCCTCTTACTTTTTCCTCTTTTAATCACAAATTCACAAATATTCTCGCTTGTAGTTTGCATTTCCTTCAGAATAATGGGGCAAAAAAGCCCATTGTTTTGAGTAAAACTGAAATTTGGTTCAAATTTTGTCTGTTGGCGAAAAGTGACAGTTGACAGCATTCATTGTCACAAAGATGAAATCGTCGCCTTGTCACTTTTGAAAACTAATTCTCTTAAAAAACATTATTTTTATGGTCGTCCCTATCAAAATAGCCGTTACCTTGGTCGATGTTGGTCTTGTTACGTTCTTTGCTGTGTTTTGGACCGTCTTGAGAGCCGGTCTGACGTGCTATGTGTTTAAGGTTAGTCTCAAGATTTTCTCGTTTACGAAAAGATCGGGTATGTTTGGATGTTATATCATAGAATATATTGAAAACGTTGCGTCTAGGGTTATACCTGATTACACGACTCGGTATGCCGAACAATGCAAGGGAATAAGCCGTAGACATCTTTTTTCAATTATTTTCGCTCAGACGAGAAGCAAAAATTTTTTTTTTCAAAATAAATGTCATCGTGGAAAGCACTGTCTTTACCGACCCGTTCTAACTTACCCGTCACGAGCGTGCTCTTCGAGTCCTCTGGGTAGCCGGCCAATGAGAAGTCGCGTAATGGATGTTCGGGCTTGTATAGGTATTTGGTATTGATTTTCTAATCTGATGTTTTCTTATATAAATATTTACTGAACTACACAAAGCCATATATTGATTGAAAGCCCTTTTCACACTGGACATGGAATCGGCGTGAAAATATAAACACGGGGAGCTATTTTGGTAAAAATTAAATGAATAAAAAAAAAGACAAATTTAGTAGAACATATGTAACAAAACAGTTTGCAGACAGTTTGAACGCTTATTGAATTTTTACATCCTATAAAAACATCAAATCCTATTTTTCGTTCATATGAGTGTTTGCTTCTCATGATGATCCAACAATGACAAATTAAAAAATGCGTAATAAACCTATCCAGTATTTAAAAATATTTGTTTTGCCTGACAGGCAGGCGTGAGTGGCGCCCTCACCGGCCGAACGGGTTTGGAGCACCGCGGAGGGCGGAACTCACGCGACATTGTCAGGCTAGGAAATGACATTGAATACTAGTAACTGCAATACAATCGTCTGAGTCGAACTAAAGGCAGCCATATTGCCACGTGGTCTAGGCTGTTCAGCCAATCGCGAACTGAGCTGGCATTTCTAGTCAAAAGGTTATGAAACAATATGAGAACCATTTGTTACTGTGAATATTTGTTAAATGCTGGGAGGGGGCAAGTTTAATTCGAGCAATGTGAGGCTCTCTCATTCAAGCTCTACGTGAACTCCGTTTTTTGTCAAGAATTATTTGTCCCACTGGCAGACTCCTCGTGACTGTCAGAACATAATTAATCTTAAATTCGAGGTGTAGGCTTGTTAGACATCTATCTGGGCTACAGACCACATAGTTCTCTTAGAAGTGAAAGGAAAAGAAACCGTGAGAGCGGACGATCTTATATGGATATTCCATTTGAAATCGGAGGTGTAAGTATTTCACGGTTTTTTAAAATATTTTTTACATGGTATTTTGTGTTACCCATGACCCATTTTTATGCTTTACTCTTCTCCAACAGGCAATTGTTATTACACCAAATCATCAAGCCCATGCACCCATTTTTACGTTGCCTTCATCATCAAAGATTGAATGATAAGGTATATTAAGGAACACATTTCTGTCCGGCGTTGTCGTCGTCGTCATTGTCGTCTATTCACGTCTAAATGCAGCACTTTTTTCTGAGACGAGGCATTCGTTTTTATGCGGAAATATATCTGAGTCACTACGAATAAAGCTGGAAATTATGTGCCTTAAAATAATAAGCAAATTAGGCACCAACGTTTTTGTAAGATATTTACATCAATCAAGGACTTTCGGTAGACTGCCTTCCTACTGTTGTTTCAATCCCAAAACTTGTTTGTATTCAAAATTATTTATGACAATGCATATTTACATTGAAACAAACTATGATAAAGGGAATAATATTATATAACAAAGGGCAAGGTCACCAGAATTCAACTATGTTTTTTAACGGAGGAACTCCTGACCATGGAGCTTCTTGTCCTCAACCACCCGATCACTTCAGAGTACTGCTATTGTCACTTGTCAAAGGAAACACTCACGGACATGAACATTTCAAAAACAAATCTGGTTTTATTGAAGTCTTCTAAATGAACTACAACACTCTACATTATTGGAAGTATTCACATACCGTACATGGTTGTCAGCTATCATACTTTATAACGTTAATACAAAATGTACAAAACCCTTTCACCGCCATATTGTTTTCCCGCATTGATTTTGAACCCCCACACACATAATTCGCATTTATTTCAAATTTCAATGTTATATTTTAATATTTGGGTTCTTATTTCGATCGGGAATCGGTTAGCTTTAGCAGGATTATGTTTTGTTGATGGATTTAACGGCAGCTAAAATGCTTAAATCATAAGAAACCAAAAATAAACTTTGGAAGACATGCAACTATATAAAAAAAACTGATACCATAATGACGTCATAGTTAAATTTTAACGACATCATATACAGCGTCACACAATTTGTTAAAAGTATTTCACTAATTTTAAAAAAAATACAATATTCGTTTTTACTTTTTGAATAAAATATTGTAATATTTATACTGAGGTGGGTTTACATTTCTACACAGAATCGCTTGTACAAATCTCACTTTGGGGTATTGCATTGTGGGTAACAAAATAATCACTAATTCATTTTTGCACATACATTCCAGAAAAAGAATATGTATATTTCCTACCAACAATTATCTTAGTTTGAAAATTGGGAAATAAACTGCTTTTGGCTGATTTAATTGGCAAACTACATTAATTCTAAAAATATTTCTCACAGTTCCTCTGTGCACTTGATATGCTGTTCGATTACGTCAGCAACTTTCAGGCTCGTTTCAAGTTATTTCATGATTTACAATGTTATAAGACGTACTCGGACAAATATGTCGTCTGGCAATTATTCATTGGTCAGCAACCTGTAGGCTGGTTTGCAAGTTATTTCATGATTTGCAATGTCATATGACGTACTCGGACAAATATGTCGTCTGGCAATTATTCATTGGTCAGCAACCTGTAGGCTGGTTTGCAAGTTATTTCATGATTTGCAATG